AGCTAAATGGATGAATCACTGCGCACGTGGGGATGTTTGTATGTGTGACAGAAGAGAGAGGGAGAGAGAGAGGATGCATTATGGTGAATCCCCTGTCCAGGTCCCTAATTTAAAATAAAAAATGTAAGAATAAATATTCTGAAACCTGATATCTTGCTTCATGACAGTTAAGAATCGTTCAATGGAAGGCAAGCCGAGTGTTTGGGAATTTACATTTTACTATTACTTTTGCATTCTGTGATTCCACAAAAGATTCCATATTAAACTTTAAAGGGTTTTGTCAGGCGCTTCATAGAACCTTTTAGGGGTTCCCATCATGAGATGATTTTATAGATTTAGATTTAATTAAATAATTTGGTAACACTTTATTTCAATGGGCCACTTTAGACATTCTTCTAACGATAAGTAACTTTGCAAACTATTTTGCAACTTCTCAGTAGAGTATTAGTAGACTCTCTGCTTAATTTTAGCTAACACTTTTTTAAATGCTCCCCCGACAGACATTCTTTCTACTGTAAGTAACTTTGCAACTACATGTCAACTTATTCTACTCACCCAAACCCAAACAACTAACCCTAACCTAACAGTCTAGTCTACTAATACTCTAATGAGTGTTAGTTGACAAGTTACGAATGTCTATAGGGGATCATCAAAATAAAGTGTAACCAATTTAATTAATTTTCAATTTGTATATTACATTTTATGAATAAAGCAGCTCGTAACCTACTTAATCACTAGAAAAATTTAATCATTAAAAGTAAAACATGAACATGAAAGTATTATGCAATAATTTAAGACATTTCTCTATTTTGGCATAAAGGGTTCTTTAAAATTGAGTAAAGAACTCTAGAGTTCCATATAGAACTCTATAGACTTGACTTTGAAAAAAAATGTTGCAATGTAAAAATATGGTTTTGAACAATAACTGACTGAAGGGGAGGAGCTGCAGTTTTTATGTGCGTCCATAAGTAAATTGCTGATGCTCTTTTAATAATCTGCAGGGTGGGCAAACTTATTTTACAAAATAAAATCTAAAAAAGCTCCTAAATATATGCTTTATTTTCTTTAAGCAAAACAAATTTTCTTGTTTTTTTTCCTGTTGTTTTTGTGGTCAAATTTGACCCAACATGTTAACGACATATGAATATGAAATATTTGCTTTCAATCCAATATTTTATTTATCGTTTTATGTTTTTACTTTCTGCTTCATTTCTCTGTGATGTATCGCACCTCACCAGCCCTTCAGTGGCTCTCTATTGAAACGGCCTGATCGTGGGGGGAATATCTATGAGCCGGACTCTCACACTGCTGCCAATCTCTCTCTCTCTCTCTCTCTCTCTCTCTCTCTCTCTCTCTCTCTCTCTCTCTCTCTCTCTCTCTCTCTCTCTCTCTCTCTCTCTCTCTCTCTCCTTTCAAAACACTTCATTAGCATGACAAACATTGCAAAAACATTAAAGGAGACCTATTATGACCTTTTTCAAAGTCTTGTTTTTGGGCTCTATTAGAACAGGTTTTCATGCTTGAATGTTCATAACACACATTATATTCCCGTATTCTCCATAGTTGCAGCTCCTCTCTTCAGAGTCTGTCAGTAACGCTCTGTTTAGTTCCCGTCTCTATGAAGCCCCTCCTTCTGAAAGCACACTGTGCTCCGATTGGTCGGCTGGATCAGTGTGTTGTGATTGGTCAAACGTTTCGAGTGTGTTTGGGAAATGTCCTGCCCCTTACCATAACCTCGAGTTGCAGCACACTTCTAACTAACTCAATCAGGCCCCGGCCCTTTATTCTGCGTATTAATTATTTAAATGAGGAATATTGTGAAGTGTTCGTTCCCAGAAGAAACTCAAGACTACAATGGAGGCGTTTCAGGGAGTTCAGAAACAGTGACCCTGATATAAAGACTAACTCCTGCTAGAGTGTCTTTGTGCTTTGGAAATTTGCAGAGCAAAGAAAAATGAACATGGAAAAAAAGCATAATAGGTCCTCTTTAACATACATCATGTACACTCTTAAAAATAAAGGTTCCAAAAGGTGGCGTTCGCACTGACACCATAGAAGAACCATTTTTGGTTCCCCAAAGAACCTTTCTCAAGAGAACATTTTTTCTCCTTATGGTGAGGAACATTTTAATAATCAGAACTTTTTCCACTATAAATAACTTTCTGCGCAATGGAATGTTGAAGGTTTCAAAGATGCCAATGAAGATCCTTTATTTTTAAGAATGTACAAACAATAAAGACATCAGGTTTTATTGTTTGCTAAGGCAAGCATCATTCATTATTACTGCTGCTCATACTTTCGGGATGGATGGCTTGTTTTAATGTGCCTTTTTACGTCTCATATACCCATCCTGCGGCTCAGTTTCGAGTTTGAAGTTTGATTTGAAATGAATTGCAATCAGTTTTTCTGTTTCTCTCTCAGTGTCTCTCATTCCATCATCTCATAAGCAGCGAGCATGATCTCCTCACAGTCTCCTGTGATATCCAAAGCAGATGTTTTATACCTCCTTTAATACGCCGTTTTAAAAGAAGCATGAGTTCAGTGCCGGTTCTGTCCCTGAGGTGGTTTTGCAGCAGAGACAAAGGCAGTTTCTGCATCCAGGTTATTTTAGCTCATGCTGTATTATGACTCAGTCTTTGCCGGCAGTCATACGAACACTGTTACGTCAAGAGAGAGAGAGATGCTGTGTTAATGAGGGGAAATGAGGGGGCAACCCACTATCCTCCGTGCAACCCATCACTGCGTGAAACACGAGCACAATGCGGCTCTGTCTCGCTGTTTAGTATTCTGACTGAGAGAAGGGAGAGCAGTTCAAACTTTGTTTTGGACACAGAGCTACTCTGTGATGGAATAAGGCCATTTAGAAAGAGACAATAGAAAGAAAAACAAGGGTGAGTGAGTGAGTATGGATAATGTGCTCTGAATTTAGAAAAATCTGAATATCTGTTAAATTATATTTAAAGAGAGAGAAAGAGAGAGAGAGCAGTGCACGCTTGCACTCACTGTGTGTTATAAATCAGCATTTGTGTGTGTGTGTGTGTGTGTGTGTGTGTGTGTGTGTGTGTGTGTGTGTGTGTGTGTGTGTGTGTGTGTGTGTGTGTGTGTGTGTGTGTGTGTGTGTGTGTGTGTGTGTGTGTGTGTGTGTGTGTGTGTGTGTGTGTGTGTGTGTGTGTGTGTGTGTGTGTGTAAAGAAAAAATCACTAATGAAATCTCTAATGTCTAAAATGTTTCTCCTAGACAACAATTAGATTACATAGGGAGTATTCTTCTGCTTCTCAGATGTTTCTCCTGGGAAAAACACCCAATAATCTCACATGCGTCTCCTCTAGAGTTAGTAAATAGTAAACTATTTTTAAAAAACTGTGGTAATCCAAATAAAGCTGAAATAAAATAAAATATACATTTTAGATGGAAAACTTAAACTTAAAAAACGTACATGTAAATGAAAAATTTGCCTTGACAACTAACTGAAATAAGTTTATGCAGAAGTAAAATCTACTAAAACTGTTCTTGAAAAAATGTAAATAAAGTATAGCTATTGTATATAGAAATTTGTATTGAAATATTAATATAAAAACATTTTTTTTACAAAATCACAAACCTTTCAAAAATTAAAACTGAAGCTAAATTTAAATAAAATCTGAAAACATAAAAAGCTAATTCGATATATTCATAAATATTATAATAATATATAAATAATATTAAAATAATACTGGTACAAAAAAAGTTAGAGTTCGACCAGAAATGCTTGCTTTTCATATAAAATCACAAATGACATCTCTTATTTCTCAATATTTCAATTTCATTTGGGAATGGATATCCACATTGATTTAATAGCTCTATTCACTTCATGTTCATCAACAATCTTTTTATTAGTTTTTTATTTGAGAAGAAACATCTGAGACAAAGTTGATGCTTGCAATGCAACATAACTGAGTACTCCATTTCTAGGGCCAGATTTACTAAACAGGGCAAATTAGCGTCTGAATTAAGCCTAAACAGGGCAATCCCATAAAGTGCCGATGGGAGAGGAAAGTTCTGCCCGGGATAAACTGACGACACGCGAGTTAGAGAACAGACGCGGCCGGATCATTTCCATAATGACCAACACAATCTACCAAGAGCAGCGCAAATTAGACCTTTTTATTTACAGTTTTTTGGGGCGGTAAATAATGGCGTCCAAATCACCATGCATGATTCATTTAAATACTCTCCTCCCATAAATGTTGCGTCTGAAAGGGAAACTCCTACAAATGCATATGCAATAAGTTCAGCCACAGAAATAACCCTGTCCTCGCCTTTCCAGCGCTAATTTTTCACAGCGTGACTTTAGTAACTTTTCAATGCCAAAAAGAGTGTTTGTGCTGACGCAAGCTGTTAGTAAATCTGGCCCAGTCTCTAAAGCTATGAAAGAGCAACATCTGAGCATTAAAAGTTTCCTGTGTGTGTGTGTGTGTTTGCTTGACTCTGTGAAAGTACAGGAAGGTTTTTGAGCATTTGAGTTAATAAAAGCCTTGCACACACAGATGTCCCTCTCCGAGACATTGCGGAGGACATAATCCTCTGTCCTGGCAGCATTTACACTATTATTTCATTCTTATTTGAGTTGTCCATCCCTTCTCAATATCCCGTTGCTAAGCTCTTTAAAAACAAAAATATCCCATCCATTATCATCAGCAGTATGTTTTTTGTTGTTGTCCTTGTAACCGTGTTTCACCTAATGAAAGCAATCATTTTCATTGCCTACGCAGTCTATTCTTCCACCAAGGTCTGTTTCTGCTGCATCTCATATATTTTTTTTTTATAATCATCTACTTGATTTACTCCGCTATAAAAGCGAGCAGGAGCTGCTCCGCACAAAGCTGCAGCCTGGAGATATTTATGTTGGATTGCGAGTGCTGTTCTTCTCAAGCTGCGTGAGATTTGTTTTTCTGATGATGACATTTACAGATGCCTTTTCTTGCCATTAAAGTCTCTTTTCTTCCCTCTTCTCTCCCCAGGTCCCCTGGCGGGCTGGTTCCTCTCCGTGTTCAATCACCTCCTTTATTTCTTCTCCTCCGCTGAACTCCAGAAGCCTTTTGAGGGGTGAGATCATGGCACCGTTTTCCTCTCGACGCTCTTCTATCCTCGTTCTGAGTCTCGTCCTCGTCCTTTCTCTGCCCCCATCCTGTTCTCCCGAATCCCAGCGTGAAGAACCGTCTCTCCCGCCCTCCATCGCTCCTTCAGCGATTCCCTCAGAGCTCTCCTATAACGTGACCGATGACATCGATGGACCCGCTCCTAAAAAAAAGTGCAGCGACCCTGTCGAGTGCAGGCCTGGGATCGTCCTGCCCGTATGGATGCCTGTCAATCCCAGTCTCGGAGAGCAGATCGTGCGGGCCGTCATCTATTTCGCCACACTCATGTACATGTTTCTGGGAGTGTCCATCATCGCTGACAGATTCATGGCATCCATCGAGGTCATCACGTCACAGGTGAGTTGCACACAATGTTCTCAATCTGCATAATCTTGATAATCTTGCAATAACTGCAAAATCGCTGTCACCTAGTTCCCGTCTACCATAAAGAGGAAAATTATGATTTATGATCATTTTCCAAGGAAAACAGTTCTTATGCCTCTCTTTAGGAGTTGCATTTCATGCCTCTGTTAATTGACTTGCAGTAAAATAATTGAAAGAGGACCTATTGTGCTATTTTCCATGTTCATTTCTCTTTTGTGTGTAATGTTTCTGTTTGAGCATGAAAAAGTCCCTCCATCAGGAGTTCTTCTCTATATCAGTGTCACTGTTTCTGATTCCATTGTGGTCTTGAGTTTCTTCCGGGAACGAAAACGTCACAATATTCCTCATTTAAATAATTCATACGCTGAATAAAGGGGCGGGGTCGGGTTGAGTTAGTTAGTGTGTTAAAACTGGAGGTTATGGTAAGGGGTGGGACATTTCCCAAACACACTCGAAGCACTTGACCAATCACAGCACACTGATCCAGCCGACCAATCAGAGCACAGTGTGCTTTCAGAAGGAGGGGCTTCACAGAGACAGGAACTAAACAGGGGTGCGTTTCCCGTACAACGGCGTAACTCGCTGCATAGTACTATGCATCGTTGAAGAAATCAACTAGCTAGTCACGACTGTTTCCCGAAACCATATTGTCGCAAAGTGGTCGTTCTTCTACCACATTGGTTTATGACGTCACGTATGTGGTGGAGTAATAACTTATTTTAATGAAACTGTTTGAGATCAAATCAACGCTAGATGTTTTGATATAAATTACAGACATGGCATCTGAGGACTATTTCTCATTTTTCTCAGTTATTTCTCTTTATTTCCAGATTTAATCACAGCCTCGTTCTTACGTGGTAGAGTATGTTCGCACATGCGCAGTCTTCAAAAACGATGCTTTAAATCTCTTGACAAACTAAATGATGGATTCTAAATAAACGACACAAGGTTGTACTGAATGTCAGCTTGCTTATTTTGCTCAAGTTAAGGATTTATTGAGTCCACATGTCATCTAGAAACTCTGCTTCTAACCACAGGTCGAGAGCTGTCGTTCCTAACACACAACTTTGCAATGCTGTTTGCGAATGTTCGTTGGAATGATGGTTTTGGGAAACACCGACTCGTTGAACTATGCTGATAACGACAGAACTTGCGACCATAGTTGGCTAACGATGCTTTCGGGAAACGCACCCCAGAGCGTTACTGACAGACTGGGAAGAGAGGAGCTACAACAATGGAGAGTATGGGAAAATAATGTGTTTTTGAACTTGAAAGCATGAAAACCTTTTCTTGTAGACCCTAAAAACAAAACCGAGACTTTGTAAAAGGTCATAATATGGCCTCTTTAATATAATGTGAGGGTGTTCTTGGAGCTTTTATTGTTGGGTTCATTAACCAAACGATATTGTTGAACATTAATTTTTGTGTCATTCAAAACCCGTATGCTGCTGGGGTTTTTTTTTCACTAAAGCATTTTTACATGCAGAATATTAATAAGAGTTCATAGTGACCATGATTGCCAGACTAAAAACATCATAAAGGTCTCATATGAAGTCAAGTCTTCTGAATATCAAGTCTTCTGAAACGGTAGCATGGCGCTAGCAACGCTAAGGTTATGGGTTCGATTCTCAGGGAGTGCATGATCTAATAACTGGACAAATTGAATGCAATGTACAGTAAATGAGTAGTTGATTTGGATAAAAGTATTTGTCAAATTTGAAATTTAAGTAAGTATTCACTGAAAATGCACTCTCTATTCAAACTGGTGCATTTGGTTATGAAACTTGCGAAAACCCTATAATTAGATTCATTTATAGAATAAAGTAATTGTATGTCTGCAGAAAACTTGGAATTTAGTGCATGGGTCATAGGAAGAATTTTTATTTTTATTCTTATGTTTTTTTTTTTGTTGTCTTCTGTAATGTTATCATATATAAAATAGCAAAGTGAAGACTAATAAAAAAGTTTTCCTTTTTGTTTTATGGAAAAAAACTGCATATGTTTGGTTTTGAATGATGTGAGACCGGGTAAACAATGACAAAATGTTAATTTTTGGGCGAACTCTTTTAAAAGCATAGCCTTCACCTGAGCTTGACTTTAGCTAGTAATTGGCGTTATTAAAATAAAAACAATCGTGACTGTTTCTCCAGCCTCTGAACATTTAATGGGATGCAAATGCTTGCAGTGTGCTTGATGTTTTTTTCTTTCTTTCTGCTAAAACGCCTGACTCGTCAACACTTGTCAAGGGTATATCGCCTACTCTTATCACCTCCACTGACTCATGCGCCATAAACCTGTCGGAAGAGGAAAATTAGCCAAAATGCTTTTATAAAGGAGGCTAGATTTCCTTCAATTCTTTAGTTTCAGTTTCTCAGCCAGAAAATAGCAAATAAATCAAAATCTCTAGCTTTAAATGCATAACTTCTGAATTTGAAATAGCCAGATGTTGCAAATGTTTTTTCACACAGCTAGCATCCTAAAATAATTTCATTAAAAAATCTGGAATGCAATAAAACTGACTGAGAAATGCTGCACCATCACGATATACGTACAGTCACAAATATATCCAAAACTGAAATAAAAATCAATTAAAGCTTTATAGAAATATTCAAAAACTAAAACTAATAAAAATGCTAAAAGCGCATAACAAAATTACTTGAAGTTATACTTAAATTCAAAACTGTAAACATAAAAATAAAAGCTAATTCAAAACATTAATAAACACTATAATAGTTTATAGTAAAGTTTGCAGGGACAAACGTTTATATTGTCTTTACAAAGCCTTTTCTGAAAGTTTGAAATGTTTATAGCTTCCTTTTATCATGTGATTTGCATGTCTTAGCATGTATCTAGTTTTATTTTACAGTTTGTTAACATGTTTGTAGAAGATTAATACATTGTTAGCATGAATTAGCATGTTTACCTCATTGATAACATTTTTTACCATGTTGATAAAATGTTTTTGCACATTGCTAACATGAATAAGCATGTTACTACCATGTTTTAGCACATTGCATGAATTAGCATGTTTCTAGAATGTTGTTGCACGCTGTAAGCATTTTTTCCTTGTTGATAACATGTTTTTGCACATTGCTAACATGAATTATCATGTTGTTAGCATTTTTTAGGACATTTGCTAAAATGAATTAGCATGTTTTAACATGTTGCTAGCATGATTAGCCTCTTGCTAGCATGTTTCTAACATGATTTAACATATTGCTAACATGTTTTAATACATTGATTGATAACATGATTTAACACATTGCTAGCATGTTTCAGCATGTTGCTAACATGATTTAACATATTATCATCATGTTGTTAACATGTTTTAACACTTTGCTAGCATGACTACCATGTTGGTAGCATGAATTAACACGTTCCTATCAAGTTTTAGAATGTTGCTAGCACGATTAGAAACTCAATTTAGACATTCATTAAGAAACTATATAGACATTTTTATTGTAAAAATGACAAAAATACACAACAAAATTACAAATCCTTTAATTAAAATGAATTAAAATGTAATATATCTAATAATAATAATTAAAAAAATGTAAATGAAAAAATAAAACCCAATTCAAAATATGTATAAAAACTATAATAGTATAACACTGATAAAATAACACAAACATAATAGCATCACAATGTTAATCTAAATTGGCTAACAGAGTTCTTTTGTAAGGAGTCAGTCGCTTTCTTTCTCTCTGGTGAGTTTCTCTCCTTTGCCAAATCAAAGCTAACAGCTCTGAGTCTACCTCATTAATCAAAGTGTTCCCTAGAAAGAATCTCATACACCCTTGTCAAAACATCCTTGTCTGCAGGGTCATGGGAAATGCAAGTGTGAAAACAGCACCAGAGACCACCAAAAATAGTCTGGAGATGTTAGCCAAGGAAGGTGTATTAGCCAAGGAAGAGCTAACATTTTTAAACATCTCTGAGCCTGTTTATTGTGCACATTTTGAAAAAGCCAAAACATACAATCTCAAGTGTTTTTGTTGTCTTTATGCATGAAAGTGCAGAAATCTGAAATATTCTTTTAGCATGTTGCTAACATGAATCAGCATGTTGATAACATGTTTTAACACCTTGCTAGTATGAATTAGCATGTTGCTACCATGTTTTACCACATTGCTAACATGAATTAGCATGTTGATAACATGTTTTAACACCTTGCTAGTATGAATTGGCATGTTGCTACCATGTTTTACCACATTGCTAACATGAATTAGCATGTTGATAACATGTTTAACACCTTGCTAGTATGAATTGGCATGTTACTACCATGTTTTATCACATTGCTAACATGAATTAACATGTTGATAAAATGTTTTACCACTTTGCTAGTATGAATTAGCATGTTACTGCCATGTTTGACTACATTGCTAACATGAATCAGCATGTTGATAACATGTTTTAACACCTTGCTAGTATGAATTGGCATGTTGCTACCATGTTTTACCACATTGCTAACATGAATTAGCATGTTGATAACATGTTTAACACCTTGCTAGTATGAATTGGCATGTTACTACCATGTTTTATCACATTGCTAACATGAATTAACATGTTGATAAAATGTTTTACCACTTTGCTAGTATGAATTAGCATGTTACTGCCATGTTTGACTACATTGCTAACATGAATCAGCATGTTGATAACATGTTTTAACACCTTGCTAGTATGAATTGGCATGTTGCTACCATGTTTTACCACATTGCTAACATGAATTAGCATGTTGATAACATGTTTAACACCTTGCTAGTATGAATTGGCATGTTACTACCATGTTTTATCACATTGCTAACATGAATTAACATGTTGATAAAATGTTTTACCACTTTGCTAGTATGAATTAGCATGTTACTGCCATGTTTGACTACATTGCTAACATGAATCAGCATGTTGATAACATGTTTTAACACCTTGCTAGTATGAATTGGCATGTTGCTACCATGTTTTACCACATTGCTAACATGAATTAGCATGTTGATAACATGTTTAACACCTTGCTAGTATGAATTGGCATGTTACTACCATGTTTTATCACATTGCTAACATGAATTAACATGTTGATAAAATGTTTTACCACTTTGCTAGTATGAATTAGCATGTTACTGCCATGTTTGACTACATTGCTAACATGAATAAGCATGTTGATAACATGTTTTAACACATTGCTAGTATGAATTAACATGTTACTACCATGATTTAACACATTGCTAGTGTGAATTAGCATGTTAAAGCCATGTTTTACTACATTGCTAGCATGAATTAGCATGTTGATAACATGTTTTAACACATCGCTAGTATGAATTAGCATGTTTAACATGTTGCTAGCTAGAATTAGCACGTTGCTAGCCTGTTTTACCATGTTGCTAGCATGTTTTAACACATCTCTACCTTCTTTTAGCATGTTTTAGCACTGAATCGTAAAAAATAAAATAAAAAAATGCATTGTGTTGTAGACCAGCATCAGCAGTCCTTTCTTGACTTGAGCGTCTCACCCATCCAGGCACAGACTGCCTTAGATGCATCATTCTGAAGGGTAGTCATAATTCCTGTAATGCGAGTTGCAAATTAATAAAGGGAAGTATTTCCAGCCCTGCATTCCACTGGATCAGAGGCTGTGCCACACACACTTTAGAGCCTCCAGGCCAAACCAGGCAGAAAAACTAGACTTGAACTCTTCTATCTCAAAAGAAACAACTGAACCATGATAGTTTGACTGACTTCAGGTGCAACGAAAGTGCAAACAATAAAAACACCATACCAGAATTATGATCTGACAGCATAGCGGCGCATTATTGAGTTGTGGAGTGTGAGTATGATGGTTGTGTCTGTGCCTCAGGGTTTTTATACAGTTTGGCGGTTTTTCATCCTGAATTTTTTTTTTACACAACCGTTTTCAACAATGATACTAATAATAAATGTTTCTTGAGCAAAAAATCATCATATTAGACTGATTTCTGAAGGATCATGTGATACTGAAGACTGGAGTAATGATGCTGAAAATTCAGCTTTGATCACAGGAATAAATTACATTTTATTATATATTAAAATAGAAAACAGTTATTTCAAATTGTAATAATATTTCACAATGTTACGGTTTGTTTTTGTAATCAAATAAATCCAGCCTTGGTGTGCAGAAGAGACTTCTTTAAAAAAAAAAAATACAATCCTAAACATTTTTGAACGGCAGTGTATATACTTATGTAAAATATTTTCTGCATATTTTGATGGTTTAAATATTAAATTAATTATTTTTTCATTTTGAAAATTCCATTTCCCCCATACATTTAAAATTGAACTGCATTTCTGCATTCTGTTTGCTTCCTCAATTCAAATTCAATTACGTTCTAACTGGTGCACGACCCTGCTGCAAGAACCTGTCAGGCTTTAGTCAGCAATAATGACCAGCTGTCTGTATCCTTAACATGTTCCCTTCTGCTCACCCAGGAGAAAGAAGTGACCATCACTATGCCCAGCGGAGAAACGTCGGTGGCCACTGTGAGAATCTGGAACGAGACCGTGTCCAATTTGACCCTGATGGCACTTGGATCCTCCGCCCCTGAAATTCTCCTGTCAGTCATTGAGGTGGGTGAGCCTTTAAAATGACAAATGTACTAGTTAGGAAGCCTTTTTTTGTGACAATTAACTGCTTAACTACTAATTGCATTCACAGCAGATGGCTAACCCTCATTAGCGTAGCCTGGGGTTTTACTATTTCATTAGCAACATTACCACTCATAATTTAGGTGGTGCTTTGTCTGTTCATTCTGTTTGCATTGAAGCACGATCCATCCATAATTTATAGATTCATGAAAATAAAATATGTTTTGTGGCTTTAGCTTAGCCTTTTAGCTGCTTATTTTAAAATTTACAATCTTTCTATCTTTCTGGGAAAATTGATATAAATATTGTGACTCGTCTTGCTCGCAGGGGCACATAAAAATGTTTGTAGAAAACAAGAAACTTTCAAAAGTACTTACACTAGTCATGAATTTTTCCAGGCTGTGATGCATGGTTATTATTGTTAACTAAAGCTCAAATTAAACCCATAAAAACATTTTCATTATTTGGAAAAATAACATTAACTAAAATAAAATTTAGAAAACTTTAAATTTATTAATATTATTTAATATTAATATTATTTTATTTTATTTATTTTTATTAATTTTATACATTTCTTTAGTTGACAAGGCAACATTTCTTATTTTTGTTCAGTTTTTGTTCAAGTTGATGTACTTAACCAGAATAAGGGGCCGTTTACACACTGATTTCAACTAAAAACGGAAAACTTTTTATGCGTTTTGACCGTTCATTTAAGCCTAGTTCACACTACATGATTTTAAAACGTCGGGCGGAACTATGTGGTTCACACTACATGACTTGCTCTCTGTGAAATCAGGAGTGTTCAAGTTGTTGAGCTGCTGTTCACACCACACGACACAACGTGATTGATCCGCAACAGGAGGTAACGCACTACACGAGTTGACAACAACTCTGTCACCCTACGATTCTATCTTGTCTACAAACCACGTTTTGTCTCGAAAAATCACGCGATAAAACGAACCGGAAATGACGCGAAACAGCACGCGCGCCAATACCCAGGGAAGAAGACGAAGAAGAACCAGAGAATGTCTAATTGAAGAGAATTGGCACTGTCTGGTTACGTCCGGTTTCTGGACTGGCTGCAGTAACACGTCTCTGTCCATGCGGGGGCGCTCGCAGGCGAGTGCAGAATGAATGGGAGTCTATGGGGTTTCACCCCCAGAAATCCACTTTTCTCAGGATGTAATTTTTTGTCAAGTTATTTGAAAGTTGCATTCAAAAGGGAGGGCTAAGATAATACACTCAGCTGAAAATTGCATTTTTAAGTTCACTTATCTGTTCTAAAAATCCGTTCAAAAATGTGATGAGATCACATAATAGCAGAATGCTAGCGTGTTCCGGCCAACAACGGCCTAACCTGTACATAATCGAAAGGACATAAGTACTCGTTCATTCGACTTTTGGCCTATAATCTATATTGAACTTGCGGAATCAACAATAAAATCTATGTTGATTCAACGACAAGCAGGAGAAAGAGATACATTTAGCCGTTTAGCTCCATAGACTCCCATTCATTCTGCACTCGCCCGCGATCACCTCCAGTGGAATTCTAATGGAACTGCAACCAATATGATACACAGTGGGGCTAATAGGAAGTGCCAAGGCTCTCCGTTAGACGGGCTCTGGAAGAACACAACACGCGAACATGCCTTGCTCTGATCGGCTGTAGCTCATGACATCACGTGAGCTTGAGTCGTGCGACAGCTCTGGATATCTAGCATGCTAGATATTTTTCTGGGCTCGGCGACGCGTCTGCGAGACGCCTGCGAGCGTCTTTGATGCGTTGTTGGCTCTTTCATACTAACAGATTGGCGAGCGTTCATCGCCCGCTAATCCCCCGCGATTTGCACGCGATAACACCCTGACCTGTCGGCGAGCTCAACGTTTTGCAAATCGGGCTTAAATCGGGCTTAAAATCATGTAGTGTGAACTAGGCATTACACAACAGCTTTTTGGGGGCCTGAAAACGCAAACTTTTGATAACGGGTTTCAAAGTGCAAGTTTTACCGTTACTGTCTCTGTGAAAATCAACAAAAATGTGAATTTTTGAAACCGGTGATGTCTTGCGCATGCGTTACGTGTTCAGTCTACAGGTGCATAGTGTTTCTTTACAACGTTACATCGCCAACTACTGGCCTGGCAGCAGAATACAACAGTTGTAGTCGTTTTTGCAGCTCCATGTGAATGGGAACTGTCTTGACATCGTTGTCATCTGTACGCGAAAAATGTTTTTCCATTTTTAGTACATTCCTGTTGTGTAAAAATTACTGTATATATGCTGTAGGGCTGACTTCGAATAGTCGAGGATTCGACGATTCGATTCGGAGAGGTCTGATTCGACTATGAACCTCATAGTCGAATAGTAGGGAAGTGTTATGTAACCAATAGGGGTGTGACGGTTATTATATAACCGTGAGACCGACGGTTATAGTTGAACACCGTCATTAGAACTCTATAACCACCAAAACAGTGCTATTAAAATATTTTTTACAAAAAATTTTTATCATAGAGAATGTTTAAATACTAATATCATCTTACGAGGGAAAAGGAGGCGGAGTTAGTGGTGCTTCGGAGGCTGAATGCTGGAGATGATTCGGGAGAGGTCTGTGCACCTTTACCGATCAGAGCGCACGCTGACACGGAGTAAAGCCTTGTTTATACTCGACGCGTCCGCACAAGCGCGAAGGTGCGGACGGCAAAAAAATGACGCGCTGGGTGCGCAAGACCGGCAAGACCCCATTTCGCTTGGCTGTGTGCACAGCTTTTTTGTAACAGCGCGCGCGACGCCGCATCCGAGGATGAACGACTTCAAGCCGAATCTGCCCGAGCATGTAGGCTACGGCTCACCGCACCGGCACGCAGTTTGCGTGTGTCTAAATTGCAAAGTTTTTTTGTTTTGTTTACTGTGTGTGTGATTTATTTAAAACAAAGCACGTTCATTGCAACGTTTTTTTGTTTTTTTTTGTGTTAAGGATTCATTTAATGTTAAGCACATTCACTTCTAGTTGTCTTGCTGTTCATTTTAAATAAACGTAGAGCGAGTTGTCCTATAACAGACAAACAGTTATTCAACCGAACGTCTGGCTGCTATCTAAAAAAAAAAAAAAAAGGTTCGACTATCAGTCGACTACGGCAAGATCTAACGAATCAGATTCGACTATGAAATGCCATATCCCAATTACCATAATTTCGAGATGTCAACGCGGTCAGGTGGTACAGCGTTCATGTGGTTCAAGTAGGAGCTCTCGGAAAATTCACAGCTTACAAATTGTAATTACGAGCTCTACGAGGACGTGAACGCTTTTTACAAGTTGAAATCTCGTAATTACGGTAGTTACAACATGACTTGAGCGTACCTATAGACATAAAAATGACAAAAGCACAATAAAATTCTTAAACTTTAAAGGCAGGGTAGGCAGTTTGTTTCTGAAACACTTTTCCCCAAATTTGTTTAAACTGTCTTTATATACCAATACATATCTAAAATGTAAGTACTCTGAAAAGGAGAGTATAAAAATCGAGTGTCTGTAGTCCTCTCAGGGCTGCAATAAACACGGAGCTACTCTTTCCATTCGGAAAAGAATGCAATGATTGGCTGGGCGACTGTCACTCTCCCTCGCTACCATGGCTACCACCCCTGCTGCTACAGGAGCCGCCCACATGCGCGCGCCCGGTTGACTCGCTCATTTCGAAAGAGGAGAGGCACGTACCGGCCGGAAGCTAGGAAGTCTCACAATTATGGCAGAGAAAGAGCAGTCAAAATTCCCAGTACCACCTGTACCTGCATATACAGTCAGCGCAGGCAAACAAGGCTTAAAAGGTGATGTCACTCCATGCACTGCGCTCAGCGCTGGTAAACGCTTCCTCCAGCTGAGCGGTCGGCATCACGCGTTCATGTGTTTTGGGGGCGTGGCTTTGGAAGGAGCCCAGAAGGGAGGGGGTGGGAGTTTCTCTGTTGGATACTTTCAAAATCCAGCAGTTTTCTGCTAGTTTCTCAAACTTACCTACCCTGCCTTTAACTAAAATGAAAATATACAAATAAAGTCTAATTCAGTATATTAACAAAAACTATAACAGTATCAATGATACTAAAATAACACTGATGTGACGTATAGGATATTGGACCATTAAACCAGTCTAAGCTGGTTTGTCTGTCTTAGCTGGTCTCCCAGCTTTTGCACACTTTTTTTTCGTTATTTTTCAGCAGGGAACTTTCTGTTTCAGTAGTATGTTTGCAAAAACAGGACAGAACATGTGTTTGTCAGAGCATTTTGATGGGTCAAACAGCTTCTTGGCACTTTAAGATGGTCATGGTTCGAGAGATGCATGCTCTCGCTAATGAGGGTCCGGATCATGTTTATTAATGAGACGCTCCTAGTTCGTTCCTCGTCGTCCACCGCATGGAATCAAGCGCTTTCTCCGATCTGTGTGACTGTGCCTGCGGGAGACGCTCACCGCTGAGTTGGCCAACATTTAGCACGTCAGTGGAGCTCCAGCTCAGCTTTATTGCCACGCATTAGTCTCTCCACGTTGTTTGTCACTCTGAATCTCTTGATCTAATGTGTTAGGACATCCGTCAGGCCTCTGTGTTTCACTCAAGGGCTTCACGTACACAGCGGGATTGTTGTTGGACGACAAACGCATCTAAACAACGTAATCACAATGCATCGTTCATCTTGAAACATTGCAGTGAAGGAGATGCAGTCAGGCAGATTTCGGCATCAGAAGTGTGAAATCTCATTGCAAGCTCAGCTGGAAAGGAGGCGCTGGTTGATTTATCTGTTTGTCACAGGCTGATCCCAAAGGTTCGCCGCCTGGTTTAGATATATATATATCAGTGATAGATCCCCAGCATAGATATCCAACACCTGCGTGCTTTTTATTTCATTCTTTTTTCTTGTTTTATCTTCCCCAAGGACATTCGCTTCATTTTCAAGGATATTCAGTGAATGTGACATTGAATGCTACTGAATCTGATGAACACCCATTTCTCATTGATCTGATGTTGAAGATGAAAAGTGACACAATTCGTCTGCTGTTGAATTGTTTTGTCTATTCTGTCATTTAATTGAAGCATTTAAACGCTGAAATGTTTGCCTAAGCCGAACGCTGCGCTCCATTCAACTTGGAAAGTGTGAAATTACAACTTGGAAACTGGAACTAACTTGGAACTAATTGGAAAAGTGCATTACAATTACATTACAAGATGAAATTACCATTTACTTGTTGACAATGAACAGCTGCAAAGCTAAGAGTAGCCATTGTCATATCTGGTCCGTGTTTGAGTTTTGTTTGAGTTGGACTTCCTGTGTTTGCTTTGTTTCTATGGTGATTCATTGTTTGATTGATTCTCTGCACCTGTTTCTCGTTTCCTTTATTGATCTACGTTTGTATATACTGTATAATCATGTGTTTGTTATGTTCTTGGTCCAATCTCGTCTTTCTTTACTGGTTTAGTGGTTGTTCTATTTGCTGTGCTTTGTATTTGAGAAGTGTTTATTTTAGTGTGTTTTTATTAAACATAAACTGCTTGCAAATAGATCCAGCCTTTTTATTTAATTTGTGCCTCAACCCCTTTCTGCATTTTATTACCTTATACATCATCTTCCAAACTTCAATCAGTTTTGTTATTGCATACTTAAATCTATTGTCGGAGCCTATAGCATTGTGGGCTAATTAGTTTTTTTTTGTTTTTGTTTACATTTAAAAAAAAAAGAGAGAAAAATGACTAATGCAAATAACAAAATCCCTAAAACTTAAACTAACCCACAAAATATATTTGGTCCAAAACACTGCTGCTCCACATTGCAACTGTATACATTAAAGCTCAGATGTGTTCTGATTGGCTGTGATTTTGTGTGTTTCAGGTGTGTGGTCATGGTTTTAAGTCCGGTGAGCTGGGTCCAGGCACCATTGTGGGCAGCGCTGCCTTTAATATGTTTGTGATCATTGGAATCTGTGTGTGGGTGATTCCTGAAGGCGAGGTGAGGAAGATTAAACATCTGAGAGTCTTCTTCATCACCGCGTTCTGGAGTATCTTCGCTTACATCTGGCTCTACCTGATCCTGGCTGTCATCTCACCTGGAGTCGTGGAGGTGTGTGTGCGCGTGCGTGTGTGCGTGCGTGTGTGTGTGTGTGTGTGTGGTCATGGTAAACCCTACGTTTACCCCACAAGGATGGCCAGAAATATTTTTACCTTACAGGACTTTTTTTTGGTTCCCATGAGGAAAACAACTTATAAATCACATTAAATTATGTTTTTTGAAAATGTAAAAATGCGGAATGTTTTTTTTGTGATAGTAGGTTTAGGGTTAGGGAGTAGAATATACAGTTTGTAGGGTATTAAAATCAATACGCGTGTGTGTGTGTGTGTGTGTGTGTGCGTGCGTGCGTGCGTGCGTGTGTGAATCCCACAAAACTATATTAGGTCTGTCGTGTTTCATCCCTAAAATCAGCACGTTTTTATTCAGTTTTCAAATGTACACATCAATTTCGTTAAATGCGAAGTAACATATACTACATGCATATTTATGGATATAATACAAAAAAATTACACTTGATATGCAATTGATATGCAAAGTCTTAGAGAACATTAAAGATATTTTGCATTGTGACATTATTTTCATGACAATTATGATAACTTCAGTGCAAATCCCTTTAGTAAATGTTAAAAAAAAATCTCGTTCTCATTACTGAAATGTGAAAAGTAACGATTTACACTAATGAGAATCTAATGAGAATCACCATTGAGAATATTGAGAATTACTGAAAACTCAAAAGTAACATTCTGGAGATATTACAGTTATGAGAATTTGGCACTGAAATGTGATCGTCATGAAATAATACAAAGCAATGTAAAAAATCTTACTGTTCATAGAAAAGGACTTTATTTTATTAATAAATATATATATAATATCTATTTTTTTCTTTTGATTTTAGCTTGAAATGTGACTAAGAAAAGTTTTTTGGCAGATTTACTCATATATATATACAAGTTCATTTTGTGTGAGACAAACACTCTGTGATAAGTCACACAAAATGATTATAAATGTTGTTTATCTACTGGTCCTTCAGACAACAAGACCATATTGAGTCATTTGTAATGGTGAAGTGAGCAGGTACCGAGCTGTTTGTCTGTTTAATGTAGCTAGAAGTGCCTCTTTGCTTGGTTCATATCAGACTGTTTGTTTTTCTTTGCTTTTCCTTTTGTTTGCAGTGGTCTTTTCTCTCCAAAGCACTAATCTCTGGTCTGTTTACTTTGTGTGTTTGCTGTATTGATGTGTATGTGTGTGTGTGTGTAGATATGGGAAGCTCTTGTCACTCTCTGCTATTTCCCCGTTTGTGTGATTCTGGCGTGGATCGCTGACCGGCGCCTCCTTTTCTACAAGTACATGTCCAAACGCTACCGTGCCGACAAGAGAACAGGTGTTGTTGTTGAGACAGAGGGGGAATTGACCCCCAAAGGTATGGAGATGATGATGGACGGCAAGTTTCCACTGAGGGGTGGAGCCATAGGGATCGGCACACAGGAACATTACCAGGATGGGACCGGCAACACAACAGGCACCATGGCAACTCTACCCAACTCAAACAGCACTACCGTTTACATGGAAGGTGCCAAGGAGCTGGACGAGAGCCGTAAAGAAGTGAGAAAAGACACATGCACTCATTTAAACAAACATTTATGCATTGATACTCACTCACAGAACTTTAGATTTAACCTTGTTTGACATGTTTTTCATCCTGACAATCCAAGACACTGTACTAAAAAGTTTCTCAGCGGAACACAAAAGTTTTGAGAGAAAACACCAAAGTTTTCAGAGTAAATGCCAAAGCACTGAAATATAATTGTTTTATAATTTTTTCAATAAACATGGAACCTATAACCATGGGATAGTTCACCCAAAAGTAAAAAAACCTGTCATTAATTACTCGCCCTCATGTCTTTCCAATCCCGTAAGACTTTCATTCATCTTCGGAACACAAATGAAGATCTTTTTGATTGAATCTGAGAGCTTTCTTTCCCTCCATTGACAGCTGCGCAACTACCACTTTGACATTTCAAAAAGTTCATAAAGAGATCGTAAAACTAATCCATATGATTTGAGCGGTTTAGTCCAACATTTTCTGAAGAGACAATCGCTTTATATTATGAACAGATTGAATTTTAGACTTTTATTCACATATAAATATTCATCAACTCACACATGGTAAACTGAAGTCTCAAGCATGTTCGGTTGAGCTTCTGTTTATATTCGCTGATATGTGAATAAAAGCCTAAATTAAATCTGTTCATCATATAAAGCGATCGAGTCTCTTCAGAAAATTTGGTCTAAACCGCTCAATTCATATGGATTCGTTTTACGATCTCTTTATGAACCTTTTTGAAGCGTCAAAGTGTCAGTTGCGAAACTCCAGAAAAGTACAAAATAACTGTAAGCGACGTCCATACAGCTAAGGTGCTATATTCCATGCCTCCTGTAGTATAGTGATAGCTTAACGTGAGGAACAGGCTGAAATTTAAGTTCTTTCCCTCAGCTCAGCTATAAGTCTCAAATCGAATCTGCATTTGAATCACAATTTGTGAGAACCAATTCTGTTTGGTTGGTGTCATTGACGTAAAACTTGGCAGATTGAGTCATATGAGCATTGAAAGCTACAGCTATTTTCAGGTTTGAAATAGCATGAGGGAGAGTATATTATGACAGAAATGAAATTGGACTTGCAGAACTGCAGCAGACAGCCTATATCTTCTTGACCTTTGAATGTTGCTTGGCAGGTGATCCGTATCCTGAAGGACCTGAAGCAGAAATATCCAGATAAGGAGCTGGATCAGCTGGTAGACTTGGCCAACTACTACGCCCTCCTTCATCAGCAGAAAAGCCGTGCCTTTTATCGTGTCCAGGCCACACGCATGATGATCGGGGCCGGTAATGTGCTGAAGAAACACACGGCGGATCACTCTCGACGCACTGTTGTGGTGGGCGGCAACGAGCCTTTGGAGGAGACCGATCTGGCCGTCTGTAGCCACATCTCCTTCGAGACCGCGTCTGTCCAGTGCATGGAGAACTGCGGCACCGTCATGATACCTGTGGTGTGTCGAGGAGGCCTGGGGGAGAGCACTTTCTACATCGACTACTGTACAGAAGATGGCACAGCCAACGCTGGATCAGATTATAAGTACTGCGAAGGGACGCTGGTGTTCAAACCTGGAGAAACCAGGAAAGACATTAAGGTGAGAAAAGAAAACATTGCTTGAAAATCCAGCTTTAACTAGTAGAGGGTTTTGCAAGGTTTATATCTTGCACCAACGGATCATTTATGCTCATTATCTGGTCCCAGCTTGTCTAGATGGTTAATCAGTTGGGGATGGTCTCAAGTATCCGAATATTCGGAAGTGTCACTAATGATTGTTCATGAAAAGTATTTGCATGAACTTTGTGGTTCTGTATGTTTCTTTTTCCGTACGTTTTCTAAGAACATGTCCACAACATAAAGTTTGGTCCAGCAGAAACTGGTAGATTGGTTTTTACATGGTTTCTTCCTCGTCCAAACTGATCATTTATGCTCAAAATCTTGTCCAAGCTGGTCTAGCTGGTTAAGAAGTTGGGATGGTCTCAAGTATACGAATATTCGGAAGTGTCACCAATGATTGATCATGAAAAGTATTTGCATGAACTTCGTAGTACTACACAATTCTTTCTTTGTAAGTTTTCTCAGAACATGTCTACAACATAAAGTTTGGTCCAGCAGAAACCAGTGGTTTGTTTTACATGATATCTATGGCCCAAGCTGGTGTAGATGATTAATCAGTTGGGATGGTCTCTCAAGTATCTGAATATTCAGTTTAAATATTCAGTTACTTTTATCTGAACATAATTTGAATCAGTTGAACTACCTGCAGGGGGGATCTGGTCTCGACTAGTGATAGTCTCAAGTATCTAAATATGTGCTGCCAATCACATCGGAAGTGATACCAATGATTGATCATGAAAACAGTATTTGTGTGAGCAAGTCATAGATCAAAAGGTTTAGTCTAGTACTGATTCTTTTACATCCATTAACAGGAATCTTTCATGAACAGGTGAGTCTCAAGGACAATGCTTTATTCTGTACTTTAAAAGCCTCTTAATCTTTCATGTTGTACACTTCCTTTGAGACAAACATCCACTCTGCTGAGATGGACAGGGCCGTGTATCCATGGCAACAGGGCTGTAGAGTCTGTCATTGGTGAGTGACAATGATTGACAGTCTCTTTGCCAAAAAGACAGAGAGGATTCAGAATGACAGATGCATCGATCCGAAAAATCAGAGCCCTACAAATCCATGTGTGATGAATGTTAAGTCACTAAAGTACTTGTCCACGAAAAAGTAAAGTAAAACCACTTCACTGAAAGTTTATAGACATCTGTATGTCTCTTTCTAGGTGGGAATCATCGACGATGACATCTTTGAGGAAGACGAACATTTCTTTGTGCGTTTGCTGAATCTGCGTATCGGTGATGCGGAGGGTATGTTTGAGAGTGACGACACGGATCAGGGTCCCAAGGCCCGGCTGGTGGAGCCGCTGATGGCTACGGTCACCATCCTGGACGACGACCACGCGGGGATCTTCACTTTTACAGACCACCTGGTGCGAGTGAGCGAGAGCGTGGGCACCATGGAGGTGACGGTGGTCCGGAACTCTGGCGCCCGCGGAACCGTGATCATTCCGTACCACACGGAGCCCGGAACGGCCCATGGGGGAGGGGTCGACTACGAGGACACACACGGAGAGCTGGAATTCGCCAACGACCAGACAACGTGAGTGTGCTTCTGTGAAAAGACAAAAGAAATCAGATTTAGCTGTGTTTGGCTGTGCATAACTCACTTCCACGATGTAAGAGTGTTCTGGGTGGTTGCCAGGGCATGCCTATGTAGTTGCTAGGTTGTTCTGAGTTGTTACTAGAGAGTTGCTAGGGTGTTCTGGGTGGTTACCTGGTGATTTTAGCGGCTACTAGAAATTTTATAGACAGTTGATATGGTGTTTTAGTGGTTATTATTACGGAGTTGCTTGGCAGTTTCCAGGATATTATTCTGAGTGGTTGCTTATGTGCTCTGAGTGGTTGCTAGTGTGTTGCTAGACAGTTGCAAGGTGTGCTGGGTGGTTACCTGGTGATTTTAGTGGCTACTAGAAAGTTTATAGACAGTTGCTAGGGTGTTTTAGTGGTTGTAGTGACTATCCTTAATCAAATTGTCCTGTTACACTTCTTGGGTCTGCTGTGCTGAGGGGTTAGACGCTTCCTTTGTCTTAAAAATCCATTGTCCACCAAGTTGCACATGCTTTTCTTGTTGTTTATTATTTTAAACTTGATTACAAAAAATTAAACTGATGTAAACTGAGAAAAGGTAATGCAAACTTAATGAAATCAAAAAACTTTTGCTGGCAAACAAACAGAAGGCAAGGTCTAAAGACCATGTGCTCCCAGCAGGCCACACTCCTACAAGCCACGCCTAGCCTTTAAGCTTCACCTGTCCTGCAGAGGGTGGACCTCTTAAAGTCCCACTCCGCTATTTTTAAACATTCCCAGTGGTCTTTAAATTATGATTATGCCATTTTTAGCCAAAATCACAAAACCTGTGCCGTTTTCTGGGACTTCGCTTCAGCAGAGCGGCAGTAGCTCATTAGCAATTCGCCTCTGCGTTGTGGGCGGAGCCGTTGGCACGGAGACGACCCTCCCCCTGCCCGTTGCTGAGAGCTCTGTCTCTCCCGCTAGCTTACACCCCCAATACCGGTGGGGCAACAGTATTATATACACGTTAATTATTATTATCCGAAGTTAATCAAAGTTATCACCGATCACCGATCATTATTTCACTCCAAGACGTCGCGTGTGGAGACGCCCAGTGGAGTTACTACGTCACAACTCCACCAGGTGTTCTGGATGATTACTAATGTGTTGCTAGGCAGTTGTTATTGTGTTATTAGTGGTTATTAGAGAGTTGCTAGCAGGGTCCGAAATTAACACCCGCCAAGCGCCAAATGCGGGTAGATTTTCTGTTTGGCGAGTATATCTCAAAAGGCTATCCGCCCCACTGGCGGGTGAATGTTCATACCAAAATAGTAATGTAATGAGTTAACGTTAACGAGTCCTCTTATCGATGCTCCTGCTCCAAAGCGAATTTTTATCCCGCCATAGTCTTATTTGATCTGTGAGTAATGTAGACGACAGTAGTGCGTGTGACAGGGCGCAACTGAAGAACGAGCAGAGAGAGAGCGAGCCCCGGTCGCGCGCGCACTTTTTCTCTTCGGAGCCAGGCGAAAGTATTCACCGTCTCCTAAGCGCTGTCTTGCTCTCTCTCCCTGGCACATATTAATCAAAATAAATCGACACGAAGGTCAGGAGACTAAAGTTTCATGTGGAGCATTCGGATATGTTTTTTCCTGAATTACTGCTGGGTGTGAATTGTGCTAAAATACCTTATCTTCTCTGAAAATCGTTCCGCACATTCAGGTGACATAAACCACACTTTAAATAAACGAAAAAACCTATCCAGTGATGAAATGTTTTCTGTATTGACACAAATCTTGTGGGATGTCCTAGCTGCCGGGATCACACAACGCGAACACATCCGATAATGACACGTCCGATTCGCGAAGTAATGACTCCTTTGAACCGATTCATTTTAATGAATGGTTAAACAACTGATATTTCCCAATAGTAGGGAGGTTAAGCCCAAAAAATAGGCCTTTGACTTCAAGTCATGATGCAAAGGTCTCCTTTGGTATGGAAGTACCTTAGGGTCATACAAATAAATTTATCCTAAGACACAAGTGAGATCACACTTTGTATCAGAAATAAACATGTTTTTTCAAAAATGGCCGCCAATGCGCCGAAAATACTCTAGAGCCCATATCTTTGCTTCTGTTATCGCTATAATGACAAATTTGGTGTCAAAGTGTACATTCTTGGGGTCAAGGAATCCAATAAAATTGGTTTCAAGTTTAAAAAAATAATAATTTTCCCCATACCATGACAATTGGGGGTAAATATGCACATTTCACATAAAAATTGTCATCAGAGTGACTTTACTTATCTTTTCGTTCAAAAACTTTAATTTTGTATTTAAGCAGTGCAGCTACTTCTGTACATTACATTTGTCCTAAGTAGCATGAGATTTCGACCAGTCAGGAGTAGCCTATAGCATATCAGTTCCTGCAACAACACATCCCATCTGCACCAGGAGCTGTGACAGCTGTTGAAGGTCAGAGGTGACAGGTTAACACTTTGAGGTTCGTATGACTTTCTCATTAAATATTTTTTTTTTTTTAATGTTAGATAACTAATAAATAGCTAGCTAGTTGACTATGGAAAAAAAAACCTTAGAGGGAAAACCTCTTTTCTCGAGAATACTGAAGCCAAAAATTATCCTTATAATTTGTATTAATTTAAAACACACTTGCTGCAGCTAGCAGACCTAGGCGAGGCAGCTCGCGCGCCTATTGGATGCTATGCGGCAACTGCTGCAACCTATCGAGGCACTGCTCGTGACGTAAGCACCAATGAGTGGGCGAATGGGCGTGGCTTATGCCTATATAAGCCAGAGCTCGATAAGATGCTCCTTGGTTTTCATCGACTGAAGCGAAACCAGATGGTAGCACAAGCACGGCAGGGTTACGCAACACTCATTCCCTCTTCTAGAGAGAACCGAGGTTACGTTAGTAACCGTGACGTTCTCTTACGAGAGTACTCTCGTGTTGCGTAAGCTAGCTTACGCTACGGGAATCCAATTTAAAACGCCGTGCATGCTAAATCTACCACAACACTGACCCAAGGGCGAGCGCCCTGAGTTCATATGATATGGGGATATAAAAAGCCGACATTGGGAATGGGCTTAATAAGAATGATATAAGGTAAACGTGGTTACCTTAAATGCATAGAGGGTGCTTAACACGGTATAACAGTCAGGGGAGGCAATAGCCTGCCTGAACTGAAAACTTTGCAGTCCGCGGAACCGAGTCCGGCAGAACTGAGCGGATAAACTAAACTGACAACAGTCTAGCTTGGAGCGCGGGAACTTCCAGGTTATAGAACCCTATAAATGTAGACAGAGAGGCCCAGCCTGCCGCCATACAGATATCGTGAAGGGAAATCCCACTGGACCAGGCCCATGAAGAGGCATGCCTCTAGTGGAATGAGCTCTGACGCCCAGAGGGCAACGAAGGCTCTTAGATGTATAAGCCAGTGAGATAGCGTCCACTTTCCACCTGGAAAGGCTATGTTTCGAGGCAGCTAGACCTTTAGATCGGCCACCAAACGAAACAAATAGCTGTCCTGACCGTCTGAAAGCAGCCGAACGTTCCAAGGGCCCTAACCAGGCAAAGGAGATTCACGTCAGACTCGCTGTCAGATCCGAAGAGAGAATGTCAGATTGAAGAGGCGGTGGTACCAGTACCAGTCGGTCGCCTTCCAAGGTTTCAGAGCTGCGACGCATTTCTGATTGACCCTGAGGCGAAACAGATCGGAGGCCCAAGCTTGAGACGGCACTCGTGCTTTCAGCCACCACTGCAGTGGGCGCATGCGAAGCAGACCCAGCTGGAGTACTGATGATGATGAGGCCATGAGGCCCAGCATCTTCTGAAATCTCTTGAGCGGGACTATAGTGCCGCAATGTTCAGTATGCGCTCTGGCGATAGTCGCGCTGTCATTGACAGCGAGTTCAGCTCTGTGCCCAGAAAGGATATTTCCTGGCTCTTCGCCCAATTGACTGTGAGACCAAGATTCTCGAGGTGTTCGAGTAATATGGTCCTGTGTTCTATGAGCTCTGAATGAGATCGAGCTAGAATCAGCCAATCGTCCAAATAGTTCAAAGCTGGCATTCCCTGAAGTTTCAGGGGCGCGAGAGCCGCGTCCATGTACATCATAATATACAGGATGCCAGGGACAGGCCGAACGGTAGGACTGTGTATTGATATGCCTGGCCCTCGAAGGTGAATCTCAAAAATCGCCTGTGACGAGAGAATGTCAGACTCGCTGTCAGATCCACAGAGACTTGTGCTCTGAAAGGAGTGGCAAGTACTTTGGGGACATAATCATGTCTTGGTTTGAGGATGACCTTGGAGTCATTAGGCCCAAACTCAAGGCACGACGCACTAACAGAAAGTGCGTGTAAGTCACCCACCAGCTTGACTGAGGCGATAGCCACCAGAAAGGCGGTTTTCAATGAGAGATACTTAAGGTCCACAGACTGTAGAGGTTCGAAAGGGGCACCCTTCATGGCCTCCAGGACCAAGGAAAGGTCCGAGGGGGGGCGAGGAGGGTTCATCCTTCTAGCTCCCCTGAGGAAGCGGACTACAAGGTCGTTCCTACCCAGTGACTGGCCATGCGAATGTTTGACAAACGCAGCAATAGCCGCCACATATACCTTGAGCATGGATGGGGATCTACCCTTATCCAAGAGCTCCTGTAGGAAGGAGAGAACCTCCGACACCCCACAATCTTGTGGATCCAGGTTGCGAGCTGAGCACCAACCTGAGAACACTGACCACTTGGAACCATAAAGCCATCTAGTAGAGGGCGCTCTAGCTTGCGTAATCGTGTTTAACACTCCGTCGGGGAGACTGATGGGTACCCGTTGATGGCCCACACATGCAGAGCCCAAAGCTCGGGTCGTGGGTGCCAAATCGTTCCCCCGGCCTGTGAGAGGAGATCTCTCCTCAATGGGACAGGCCACGGAGGCAAGCTCTGAAGCTGCATCAGCTCCAGAAACCAAACTTGGTTCGGCCAGAACGGAGCTACTAGAAGTACACAGGAACCGTTCTCCCTTATAGGCTTGATTACCTGTGGTAACAGCATGATCAGAGGGAAAGCATAGAGAGGGCGGCTGGGCCAGTGATGGGCAGCCCAGCCGCCAGTGATGGGCTGGGCCAGTGATGGGCTGGGCCAGTGATGGGTGCTGAACCCATACAAGGATGCGTTCTGCCAGTGCATGAAGGTTCCGTGATCTCAGACTGCCCTGGCGATTTATGTAGGAAACCACCGACATGTTGTCCGTGCGGACAAGGACATGGTGGCCCTTTAGAAGGGGAAGGAAGAACCGCAAGGCGTTCTCGACCGCCTTCATCTCTAGACAGTTTATGTGCAAGCTCTTTTCTTGGCTTGACCACAGGCCAAAAGTCGGTCTGCCCTCATAGAGGGCGCCCCAGCCCGAATTGGAGGCGTCTGTCGAAACCACTATCAGTTTAGAGATTACTCCCAGGTTTACACCTGTCTGATACCAGTCGACCGCCTTCCAGGGCTCCAGAGCTGTGACACAGTTCTGAGTTACCTTGAGACGTAAACGACCGGATGCCCATGCTCGACGCAGGACCCACGTCTTCAGCCAGTGCTGTAAAGGGCGCATGCGAAGCAGACCTAAACGAAGAAATTATTAAGTTGTGAATGGACTGTGTGTTTGGCATGTGTTTTTTAATAAAAAATTGCATACTTCACCTCCAATTGTCATGTTAAGGACAACATTATTGTTTTTTAGTCTTGGAACCTATTTTATTGGACTCCTTGACCACAAAAATGTACCCGTTGATACCAAATTTGTCATTATAGCTATGACAGAAGCAAAGATATGGGCCTCTCAAGTATGGTCGGCGGCCATTTTTAAAAAATGTGTGTATATAAGATACAAAATGTGATCTCACTTGTGTCTTAGGATAAATTTATTTCTATGGCCCTAAGGTACTTCCATACCAAAGGGGACCTTTGCATCATGACTTGAAGTCAAAAGTCACTTAACCTCCCTACTACAAGGGGGTAATCCATCGACCGGAAGTTGAAGCCGGCCGGGTGCCGCCATCTTGTAGCAGAACTTCACTTGCGTTAGCATTCCCATTGACTCCCATTCATTTTGGCGTCACTTTGACAGCGAATAACTTTACATCTGAGGCGTTTAAAGACTCCATTTGTCCATTATTTATTTCTAAAGAAACACGACAATGTATACAGAGCTCCATTACCTTCTATGTTACACTATGGCCCCGTAGAAACAGATATTGTAAAAATAGGCTAACGATTGCGTCATAACCACTCGACTCTCTGTCACGCTGTACAGAAATTACCGTACAGACAGGAGGAGAAGCTCGCAGGCAATCGGGGGACGTCCCGTCAAGGGAGAAGCCCATAGATAATGAGTCCATAAAAGCAACGGAATACTTACTCCTGCTCACTCACGCCAAAGAACTCTTTGCTCAAGTTCCCCGTCTCTGCAAGATTAACGTTGGCAATTTTCACGCACAGCTACTAGAGGAGTAACGTCTGTCAGACAGGTTGCTCACGTCATCAAGCTTAGTTTGAGTCGGTTTGAGTCTGCGCGTCAGGAACGGAAGTGCTTAAAAATCGCTAAAAATGGGCTTCAACTGTCTCAACTGAGTTCCAATGAGATGGCTCTGTCCACTTCTTATACTGTCTATGATATTTCCAGTCCTTCAGTTACTGATCGGATCAGTCAGAGTGAATGGAGTAAAAAAAAATAGGCAGAGTAAAACTAAATATATTTTTTAAATAATTATAATATATTATTATTGCATATATTTTATTAAATATACAATTAATACATTTAATTTGTACAGAACTATTTTCATAGGCACCACCACAAAAATATTATCTTTTAATGTGTGTAAATTGTGTAATATGTGTGAGTAAATAAAAGTAAAAATGGAAATAATAGACCAGAAATATGACAAAAATGTTTAAATATAGCCTATATATAAATGAATGTATATGTGACACAAAAAGGCTGTTTATTATTTTGGCCGGTAAAAAATATGCTTGGCTGGTGGATTTTTTCATCTACCAGTCCCCGTGGCAGGTGAGTCAAAAAGTTAATTTCGGACCCTGGTTGCTAGGGTGTTCTGAGTGGTTACCAGAGTTGCTAGGCAGTTGCTATGGGATTCTGAGTAGGAAGTTTATAAGCAGTTGCTAGGGTGTTCTGATTGTTTCTAGAGAGTTGATAGACAGTTACTAGAGAGTTGATAGACAGTTGCTAAAGTGTGCTGGGTTGTTACTAGAGAGTTGATAGGCAGTTGCTAGGGTGTATTAACTGTCTCAGTGATCCTCTTGTCTCTGGATATAGCTCTGGTTCCTCCTACAATATTATTTTTTTTCTTCCGTTTTATCATCCAGCAGATGCAAATGGTGTGTCTGATGATGAACTCCTCCCCTGAACAAGACACATGATTTGAGACATTACAGAGTATATACGTTGATGGGACTTGTTCAAATCCCTGGAGAATGAGCTATAGTGAGCTAGCTCAGTATGCGTGAGCCAGTGAGATCAGTTAGCGGATGCAACGTTTCTGTCTGTCTGGAGTCTTTTCTGTCTATGCCGGATGAACCTGACAGTGTCCTACATTATGGATGAGCACTAAACATTACGATTTTCCTGTGTGCATGTCAGTGCTGGAGGTAAATCCAACCCTACTCAACAATGTAGCGTCCTTACAAACAGCATTGTGGATTTAGCTTTTTTGTGCAATGAGGTTTATAATGGGAGCATCAGCATGTGTGTGTGTGTGTGTGTGTGAATGTGATTAAATATTGACATGCAGCCTTTTGAAGTGATTTAAATGCTTATATTTCCATGATTTGTGTGAGCATGGTTTTGTGCCTAATATATGTGTATTGGTATGTTGTTTGTGTGTGTGTGTGTGTGTGTGTGTGTTTGTGTGCATGTGTGAGTGCTTGTGTGTGTGTGTGTGTGTGTGTGTGTTTGTGTGTTGATCATTCATCAGTTCTTTTAATGTGATTTCATGTCAGGGTGGAGCGCTGCTGTTCATGACCCCTGAGGAATGGCATTAAGTATTTATAAGGGTGTGTCGTGTGTGTGTGTGTGTGTGTGTGCCCGTGTGTGTCGTTATGCAGTTCTAGCTTTCTGCCATTTTCCTTTTTAGTCTCAGTTTTCTGTCACTTGTCGCAGTAATCGATGTGAGACTTCAAAGCCACCACCTGAATTTCTGATTACTTGTGTATATTTTTCTCTGTGTGTGTGTGTGTGTGTGTGTGTGTGTGTGTGTGTGTGTGTGTGTGTGTGTGTGTGTGTGCATGTCTGCAGTCAGACCTTTCAGGTGAGGATCATTGATGATGAAGAGTACGAGAAACGTGAGAATTTCTTCATCGTTCTTGAGGAACCTCGCTGGCTGAAGAGGGGCATCTCAGGTGTGTTTTGCACTACGAGAACAACGAGTAGCTTTATTGGTTTTAGAGTGGTTTTGGGCATTCATTTGACAGTGTTTTTCGATACAGTTGGCTTCGCTCCAGCCCTAATGAGCTGCCTATCACGACAGTAGTGGTTCTGCGGATTACAAAACTCACAGTTCGGATCATATTACGGTTTGTGAGTCACGGATGGGATAATTTTTTGGATCTGCAAAAAAGAACAAAATACACCAATTACAAGCATAGAAAAAATACAATATAACAAAGTTGCAATTAAATTAACTGTAGTATTCAGCTACAGAAATGTTATAATTAGGCCTAAATGTAAAATAACACTATAGTGTTGTAATGGATTTTCCCTGAATCTAACTACGTACCTGGAACCTAATTATCTTTATAAATAAAATGATCTGGGGTGCCCAGTCAACACCCAAGCGTCTACTCATCGACACTTAATAAATATCTGGGGCGTCTCCAAATCGACACTTAACCTAGCGTCTCCCAATCGACACTGAATATCCTTTATACTCTAGCTCCTACGTCTTCCGTCGACACTGGCCGAGTTCCCTAACTTACTTGTTCTTGCTACGCAGCTTAAATGACAGACAGACTTCAGTAAATGTCCTTTAAATGCTCTTTATTACAGCCAGGAGTTCTCGAGCATTTCTCAGAGATTCCACCAAGAATAAACAAGGCCGGAGGATCTCAGACAATTTCCATTGAGAATCCCACCGAAAACACAGAAACAACAGTTTTTATAGAATAGGGAGGTATGGCATAGTGACATTAATTTGATAATTTGGTTATTCATTTACAGTCTCTTCTGTTACTGGGTAGAGAAGAATTTGTTTTAACGATTACTTCATTGATCACAAGTTCTAACCTAGTCATCTGTCTAGTTTAATTTCCTATATTTGTTATTTATACACACAGTCAGGGGTTCGACACACATACATTCATCTAAAACACAGAATGTCTTAGAACATTGTTTTAGAGATTTAGCAGGTTAAACAAGGTCAAATGTTAAAACATGGTTTTCTTAATATTCAGCTTAAATTTTCTACCACAGTGTTCACTGTATAAATTAAATACAGATTAATCTTTGTTAAAGATGTGTTTTGTTGTTTGATTAACATTAATGATAGATAGCAGCAGGTATTTATAGGCTGCTGTCACTTTAAAGGGATACTCCACTATTTTTGGAAATAGGCTCATTTTACAACTCCCTCAGAGTTAAACTGTTGAGTTTTACCGTTTTTGAATCCATTCAGCCGATCTCCGGTTCTGGCGGTACCACTTTTAGCATAGCTTAGCATACATCATTGAAGTGGACAAGACCATTAGCAGTTCTCAAACAAAAATCACCAAAGAGTTTCAACATTTTTCCTATTTAAAACTTGACTCTTCTGTAGTTACATCGTGCACTAAGACCGACGGAAAATGTAAAGTTGCGATTTTCTAGGCTGATATGGCTAGGAACTATACTCTCATTCCTGCGTAATAATCAAGAAACTTTACTGCCGTACCATGAGTGCAGCAGGCGTAATGATATGATGCAGCGCTTGAAAATAGGCCACCTTCCGTCAACACAACGGAACTATTTTCAGGCGCTGCGTCATATCATTACGCCTGCTGCACTCATGGTACGGCAGTAAAGTTTCTTGATTATTACGCAGGAATGAGAGTATAGTTTCTAGCCATATCAGCCTAGAAAATCGCAACTTTACATTTTCCGTCGGTCTTAGTGCACGATGTAACTACAGAAGAGTCAAGTTTTAAATAGGAAAAATATCGAAACTCTTTGGTGATTTTTGTTTGAGAACTGCTAATGGTCTTGTCCACTTCAATGATGTATGCTAAGCTATGCTAAAAGTGGTACCGCCAGAACCGGAGATCGGCTGAATGGATTCAAAAACGGTAAAACTCAACAGTTTAACTCTGGGGGAGTTGTAAAATGAGCCTATTTCCAAAAAAAGTGGAGTATCCCTTTAAGACCTAATGCACGGATCCAATTTAATGATCCGATTTATTTCTCAACTGTTTACGTTCACTCAAGACACACCCGACTGTGTTTACAAGAATACTTGCCAAGACAGGTATTTTGACATATTTTATGCATATGAGTTCGTTCAAGCTCAAGGAGATGCGGAATCAATTCGCATCTTTGTGTGTGCGCGCTTCGGCATGCGAGTACCAAATTAAGTTCTCTTTCGGCTCTTCTTGTGCTGGAAGTGTAAGTGTAAATTAAGACGTGCAAATGATACAATGACAACAACTTTTTTTGTTGTGGGTCAAAATGACCCGTTTAACGAAGGCTAGCTAGCATCCTTGTTAGCACGCCTGCCTCCCATGCCTGACACTCTGGTTCGAATCCCACTCGGAGCATTTCATTTGTTGCCGTGACCCGGATAAGAGTGAGGTTTTGGGGGTGAGTGTAACTGAGGCCAGCTAGTAAGAGCTGTCCAAATTTCGCGTAAACCTCACTCCCCTGGCCTTAAGAGGCGCGTTAGGGACTGATGCTAGAGACCGCGTCCTTGTTAGCACGCCCACCTCCCATGCCGGAGACGCCGGTTCAAATCCTGCTCGGAGCGGGTCGAGTTGGACTGGAGGGATTACATTTGGTGCCGTGACCCAGATGGGAGTGAGGTTTAGGGGGGTGAGTTTAATGGTAAGAGCTGTGAGTGTAAACCTCACTCCCCTGGACTCAAGATACTGTGGTCTTTAGCGACCTTGTTAACGGCCGATTGAAATCCCGCTCGGAGCAGTGCCAGTAGCACCGGAGGGTTTACTCTCGCAATATAATACAAAAGGGACTTTGCACTGTTTGTTGCTTGCATCATATGAGCAGTGCTATTTCAAATCAATCTCTTTTGAGGTGCCATTTGGTTAGAATGCTGTTTTAGGGTTTATTCATAACAGGAAAGTCCGCTAGTCCAGACCAAATACAATGTTGATTTGTTTTGTTTGGTTTGGATCACTTTCGCACTGCCCTTTTTGCAAGTGAACCAAAATGTGTAAACAAAACCACACGTGTGCTAAGGTCATCCATTCATTGGACAGAAATTCTCAAGCAGGAAGTGCAAAAACAGGCTAATCATGGAGATTTTTCGTTGTGCAATTTTTATTCTTTTACTGATTTGGTGTTATCAGCTACTAATCCAAAATGAAGAAACTTATGAGCATCATATGATACAATGTCATTGTAACAAAGTATGTTGTTATGGGAAGGAGGAGGCGGGAACCGACAAACATTTAAACAATTTAATAATAAAACAAACACAAAACGAAAGTAAAAACGGCAGCCCCTCACGGACGACTGTCAGCACATAAACAAAACATCACATAACATATAAGTCCAGCCCTCATTCTCTCTCGTCCTTCACTGTCATCACTCTCTATGCTTCCGCTCCTCCGTGAGATACGAGACCGGTGCGTCGCACAGGTGACGCTCGTTAGTAATCACGCCACCGTTCTCTCACGGCCTTCGGCCTCATCCTGCTTGCCACAGTCATCTATAGTATACGATGTTGTAATTAGGGTGTTGCAAGACGGTTCCGGCAGAGAGAGTATGCTCTTATGTGCACTGTACCAGAGTTTGTTTGGAACCGGACCGAGACCACCTCTTCAGCTGTGTCTCGGTACGGTTGTTTGGTCCTTACCCGAGTGCGATTGCTGTATACACACCTGCCCAAAAGATCCGCACCAAGGAGGGAAACGAACTTGAGTTCAAATCATTCGAACCAAACAAGACAGGTGTGAATACACCCTTAGTATTCAGAGAGGCAGCTCACTAGGGTTTGGAACAGGACCACGGTTCCGAGATGTGTGTAGATGCGTGTGTTTGTGTGTGTTTGTGTGTGTATGTGTGTGTTTATTAATGGAGTAAACTCATCTCCAGCACTAACTCCATCTCTCTTGTCCCTCCTTACACCACGCAGCCCTGCTGCTGAACCAAGGTAAGGTTTCAGATCAACCTCTGATCAAACTCTGACATGTGTCCACACTAACCCTCATGTTACACACTCAGAAGAGAAAAAGGGCTAGAAGCTTCCCTGAACGTAGTGATGCCGAGTCCGAGTCAAGACCGAGTCTTTGAAGGGTCGAGTCTGAGTCGAGACCGAGTCCATTGGTTTTCAAATACAGTCGAGTCCGAGTCAAGACCGAGTCTTTGAAGGGTCGAGTCCGAGTCGAGACCGAGTCCGTTGTTTTTCAAATACAGTCGAGTCCGAGTCAAGACCGAGTCTTTGAGGAAGCAAGTCCGAGTCGAGATTTTGTTTGAGGAAGCAAGTCCGAGTCGAGATTTTGTCTCGACATCAGTTTTGATATTCATGATTTAATATCACCCCAGTTAATAATCAACAGTTAGGCCTACAGACTAAGCTAGATTGGGAATTGTTTAGAGAAGCAGTCTTAACTAGTGATGGGGACGAGACCGCCTATGCCGAGTCCGAGTCAAGACCGAGTCTTTGAAGGGTCGAGTCCGAGTCTTTGAAGGAACAAGTCCGAGACGAGTCCGAGAAAGCAGAAATCGGTCTCGAGACCGGTCTAGTAATGATGTAGTACCGAGACCGGACTCGAGTACTACATCACTACCATGAGGGACACGATTATGGTGTGAAAAGAGGGACCGCTGAAAGAGAGGAGTTCAAAACATTAGACAGAAAGTGAAAAAGAAATCTCAATGGTAGTTTTCACAATCTAATCAATCCCAGTTTTTACTCTCTGAATCTTTTTCACTCTGAAAGAAAGTAAAATGGGTTGTAAATGGCTTTTAATGTGGACTTAAAAGTTTGTAAATCCACAGTCTGGCACAGAGGAATCACATGCATTCAGAACATCTCTCAAAGCCTGAATTCAAACCGTGTTGTTTCGTTTGTGTGTGTGTCGTTGTACGTGGTGTCGTATTGATTGGTTGAGCTGTTATGTTTTTGATTGACAGGGAAGGGGTATGCCCTCCATTTCCTGCCTGTTGTATCTCATTCTTTTCTGTCTTCTGTCTGTTTCTTTTTCTTTATCGTGTCTCTTTCAGAGGATCCGGAGGCACAGTTGAGCACGGAGGAGGAGGAGGCCAGGAAGATAGCGGAGATGGGCAAACCTGTTCTGGGGGAGCACAGCCGGCTGGAGGTGGTGATCGAGGAGTCCTATGAATTTAAGGTATTACATCTGAAAACATGGAAAAAAAGTCAGTCCATATTTTCTTTATTTTATTTTATTTTATTTTATTTTATTTTATTTTATTTTATTTTATTTTATTTTGTTTTATTTATTGGGGAGTCCTGTGAATTTACTGCAAAGCATCAGATCTAAAAACATTGGAAATTGTAGGTCAATATTTCTTTATTATTATTATTATTATTTTATTAGGGAGTCATCCCATCTAAAAACATTGGAAATTGTAGGTCCATATTTTATTTTTTATTTTATTTTATTTTATTTTATTTTATTTTATTTTATTTTATTTTATTTTATTTTATTTTATTTTATTTTATTTTATTTTATTTTATTTTATTTTATTTTATTTTATTTTATTTTATTTTAGTGAGAAGTCCTATAAATTTACTGTAAGGTATCCCATCTGAAAACATTTAAAGCAGTCAGTCCATATTTTATTGTATTTTAATATTTTAATTTGATTCTAATTAATGTAAGGTGTCACGTCTGAAAACATTATTTTAATTTTATTTTAAAAGCATTTTTAATTTATTTAAAAGAAATCATGATGGCATTTTTCAGTCTTACACCATCTGTTCTTCAACCTCTAAAAAGACTTGACATAAGGTCACATGGTGAAATCATGCATGCTAATCCGTTCTTCATGTACAGTGTTCAGTACAGTCTATATATAGGTTATGTGGTATACGGTATGAAAAATGCACATGCATCATTGATACCAGCCCATAGCTTGTGATTCCCAGTAGATCCCCAATGTATTCCTGGACATGATGATTAGATTTTTTTCTTCATATTTGCAGTGCACAATTTTAAATTCTAACTGTTTATGACTATTTACAAAAAGAAATTATTTGAAGCTCCAACTTAATGATTACCTGGAGTGAAAAGATTTTTTTCGGCTCTGTTCATGCTTGTTGATGACAGCAAAATTTGATGGGTTGATTAAATTCTCATGATATGAATATTACACTCATATCTTTTTTTCAGTGTTATTTATCAGATCAGTGGTGCTAAACGAACAGTTGTCAGGTTCATTAGGTTGTCATGATAGTAATATCAAGAAATTCATTGCCAGCACTTCAGTGGTCCAGATCTGTTCTTTCTTTCTTTTTTCCTTCTTTCTTTCATTCATACACACACACACACACACACACACACACACACACACACATATATATATATATATATATGTGTGTGTGTGTGTGTTTATAAATATGTATGTATATATTTATATTTTTAATGTATATACATATTTATATTTATTTTTTATTATCACAAAAATCACACTGAATCTGATAAGATATTTTAAATTCTGAAAATAATTATAATATAATATAATTATAAAATAAATATAATAATAGTAATAGTAATATATCTATTTATTTGTATTATTATTATTAATAATATGTATACATATATTAATATTTTATTATATATAGATATATTTATTTCTATTATTGTTTTTGTTCACAAAAATCGCACTGAATCTGATCAATTTAAATTCTGAAAATATAATAATAATACATGTATTTATTTGTTTTTATTATATATTTGTTTTTATTATTTTGTGAGCAAGAATCACATTGAATCTGATATTTAAATAAATAAATATTGACATCAGAGTGAACAGTGACATCGGAATGATTTTTTATGTCAATCTAACTTGTTGTCATATATCATAATTGTGCATTATATGAAATGATATTATGAAATTTTGTTGTTAATAATATGGTGACAAATATACCAGGATAGAGTGACACCATTAGAACACAGTTCCAAGCTTTTCACTAGTGATTATCCTGAACTGTGACATCAAAGAAAAGTCCTCTGCATGAGTTTCTGCAAGCGTCACGCACACCTGGGCTTTTATGACTTTACCTGAGTTTAAACACAAGTTCATTGTGTCTGATATGGGCCACATTAATGATGTCATGTGAACAACCTTAAATGTACTTAATCCTGTGGTCTAAATGTTGCCAGTGATCCGTTGCTGTGTTTCAGAGCACCGTTGATAAACTGATCAAGAAGACTAACCTGGCGCTGGTCATCGGCACTCATTCCTGGCGAGAGCAGTTTGTGGATGCAGTGACCGTCAGTGCAGGTCTGCCTGTCTTACACACCTTTGTGTTCTTCAACAGTGTGTTGGATGTCTCTTTTGAAATAGGAATACATTGTATGAGTCACACTGTATAAATTGCATTCCCTCAGAGATACACAGACTTAATAAAACACATAATGAGGCGCTTTCATTCTCAACCTGCTCCTCTTAAAAGCTCAGTCTCAGAAGCTTCAGCAATACACAATAGCTCAAAAATGACTTGTTTTGTACGCATTTGTGCACTTTGCTTTCATGGAACAGAAAAGAAGAGTGTTCAGTGTGCAATTTTCTATAACAACTTAAAATGTATCATAAAGGCACCATAGAAATGGTCCGTACTGTTTATTTAAAGTTATTTATTTTGTATTATTATGAAACTTGTAAAAGAAAAAATGGTTTGGATTGAACGATATAAGGTTGTTCATGTACAGTAAGCGATGTGATACTGTCATCTGGTGGTTAGTTGTGTTAATGACCGTGCATGTAAAATTGTGTCCAGAATGTGGTTGTTTAAATCTTTAATTGTGTGTGGCATCCTCAGGTGATGGAGACGATGACGAAGACGAGGGTCGAGAGGAGCGTCTCCCGTCCTGCTGCGATTACGTCATGCACTTCCTGACAGTGTTCTGGAAGGTTCTGTTCGCGTTCGTTCCGCCCACGGAGTACTGGAACGGATGGGCCTGTTTCGTGGTGTCCATCATTGTAATTGGCCTCCTCACTGCGGTCATCGGAGACCTGGCGTCTCACTTCGGCTGCACTGTCGGCCTTCGCGACACTGTCACCGCAGTCGTGTTTGTGGCTCTGGGCACTTCTATCCCAGGTGTGCTTGGGGACATTTAATCCAGTATTCACGGGCACTTCAGCCACACTTTCAAATCTCTGAATGACACTGCATTAAAAAACACAGCATAAATGCAAGATGAATTTATTGTGAACAAAAATGCACAAACATAATTTTTTATTTGACTTATTATTACAATATTATTACAATTTTCTGTTTTTTATTTGAATATATGTTCAAAGTTATGCACCGTTACTCCAGTCTTCAGCGTCACATGATCCTTCAGAAATCAGTCTAATATGATGATTTGCTGCTCAAGAAACATTTCTGTTTATTATCAGTGTTGAAAACAGTTGTGCTGCTTCATATTTGTGTGGAAATGAAATGCATTTTATCTTTTAGGATTCTTTAATGAACAGAAAGTTCAAAAGAACAGCATAATATTTGAAGTAGTAATCTTTTGTAATATTATAAATGTCTTTACTGTCCATTTTTTATCAGTTTAATGCATCCCTGCTGAATAAAAATATTAATTTCTTTAAAGAAAAAAAAAACGTACCCCGAACTTTGAATGGTAGTGCATATAGTTTTATATCACAATTTAGTACAAATAAATGACACAAAAAACATTATTATTAATAATAATAATATGAAATCTTAATGTCGAATGTGTGTAGATCTAATTATTATATTTTATTATATTATATTATATTATATTATATTATATTATATTATATTATATTATATTATATTATATTATATTATATTATATTATATTATATTATATTATATTATATTATATTATACATTGCCGGCCAAAAAAAAGTTGCTGTTTGGTTTTAAATAGGCAATTGATTAAGAGTATATTATTGGATCATTATTGCAGTGATCGCACATTGAAAGTCTTTTCACCTTTTCATGTAAATATCATCACAACATTTATTTCCATCAAGAGGTGCATACATTTTTGGTCAAGATCTTGTATTGTCAATGCAAGCACATCCCAAAGACTTTCAATGAGTTCAAGATCTGGACTCAGAGGAGCCGATTCATGTGTGAAACTGATTCTTCAAGCTCCTCACAAACATTCTCACACAGTTTGATCCTGATGAATCTTGGCTTTGTCATCCTGGAATATGGCCATGATGTGCATGGTTGTTTAAGAAATGAAAAGCTACACAAATATTGGCCAGTTTATCGGCCTTGTCCATAAATAAGTCAACCACTAATGCCTATATGTCTTTATCTCCCTTTTTCAGACACTTTCGCCAGTAAAGTCGCCGCTACTCAGGATCAGTACGCAGACGCCTCCATCGGAAACGTCACCGGCAGCAATGCCGTCAACGTGTTCCTGGGTATCGGCGTGGCCTGGTCTGTGGCGGCCGTGTACTGGGCCATCAAGGGCAAGAGGTTTCTCGTGGACCCCGGATCATTGGCCTTTTCCGTCACACTCTTCACTATTTTTGCCTTCGTCTGCATGGGTGTACTACTGTTCCGGCGCCGACCGTCAATCGGGGGAGAGCTGGGCGGCCCTCGTGTCTCGCGTATCCTCACTACACTCCTCTTTCTGGGTCTGTGGTTCCTCTATATCCTCTTCTCCAGCCTTGAGGCCTATTGCCACATCGAGGGCTTCTGAACGGCCCTGCAGAGAGAGAGAGAGGGGGGGAGGGGGGAGGTTTTGAGGCTCGGAGCCAAGAAGCTACACACATCAACACAAATTTGCACACACACTTACAAAACACGTATTTGGTGAGTCGTTGAATACAAGGATCGTTCAACTTAGATGTATCCAAGAACCCTGGTAGAGAATTTGAGGCGGAAGAAGTTCAGAGAAAAACAACAAGAGATGGACGATGTTTGAGAGAGATGGAAGAAGAGGAGTTTATGAATGCAAAGCATGTAGCAAAATGGAAAGAAAGAAGAGTGGAGGCAAAAAAAAGAGTGTAAAGCACTAAAACAAAAGAGGGAGCGATGATGTAAAATAGTCTTTTCGTCTCTCGAGCTCATGGGCAGGACTGACGACTTTTGTTTAGCACTGCAGACATTTGTGACATAACAGGCTTTTTACGGTTCAAGGGCACAATACATCAGAGGAAAGAGAAAAGGAAACGCCAACTATAGCGATGGCACTTTAGATGCTAATGAAAATGCCCAGCGATAGAGCTGCTTAACAGAGCAGCAGTTTAGCTTGGGCTGTGCGCATCATTCTGTACTAAAGCAGTTCTTTACGATCGCTGCTTGACAGATCGCACAATATGACTCCAGAGTAAAATGCAAGACAGACGGAAAATGTGCGTCACATTAGACTTTCAAGCATGCAAAATTACTTTAGACTCTGCCTGCAATGACTATGCACAGCAGGATATGATGTCATGCTCTAGGGCTTCTTGTTTTAATAAGTAATAAAATATAAATAACTGATAATAATGCAGTCTAGTGTGACCGCACCACCTAACAAATGAACTAATATTTCAGCTTGAGTGATTGATGTCGGACTGCTCATTCATCGGAGCCAACACTAATTCAATTTTATAGGAACGTGACAGGAATGCTAAATAACGAAATATTTGTTTTGCATAAATATTGTCCGGAAATCTGTCAGACTTAGCGGTTTATTAGTGATCTTGAGACACTAAGCGATCAAAGACTGTAATTGTGCCCTACAATGACAAAATAAAACATGTTTAACGATACCAGAAATTCATATTAGGCAGCAAAATAGTGGCAAAAAAATTAGGGCTGCGTCAGCTCATGGACGGAAGAATGATCGAAGATGGAACTAGAAAGTTATTCATCAAACTTCAGACTCAATATTCTGCTAGTTTAAAGACATTGGATCCAGATATTTTCATTTAGTTTTACATCAACACTTATAGTTTTATGACTGTCTGGGCTCTGCTGAAATGGAACACTGCTCTCTGTGACATCATAATGATTTGAATCTTCAATTGTTACATTCATTCTGCGCTTTCTGCTGCCTAGAGACAATGGAACTCTCTCGATGACATCATCATGATTCGAATCTTCAATTGTTCATTCTGCGCTTTCTGCTGCCCAGAGACAATGGAACTCTCTCTATGTCCAATGTGTCCTATGTCAAAAAGTGTCAATGTAAAAATCCCACCGGAAGACACCCGCCGTCATCTCCATATCTCCAAGCCTATACTGGGATGTGCGTGAAACTGTTTGTTTTCCTCTCTTTAGAATCAGACCACAGCAGTGTTCAGAGTATGCTAAGAATAAAAGACGTCTCCATCGAATGGAGTTCAGTCCAGTCAAAGTAACTGAGAGTTTATCTTCTTCTTAATACAGGTTTATTACGAAGCATTTGGATGTCAACTTTAGTAGGGTGCTAGCCTGGTTAAAACCAGACCATTCTCAGTTGTAACTGAGTTATGGTCTGGCAAAGCGTCATAGACAAATCATTTCCAGAGGGGCGTCACCAACAGACGTCGCGGATAGACCTAAACCCAATCAGAGCGATGAAGGAGATGACGTATGCAGAGCGGCGGAGAAACATCTCCGAGTGTTGTTCTTTGCTCGGTTTTTAACTAAAAGGAAACGTTCAGATCGCTTAAAACAGACGCGATAGCTGATTGGAACGAGTGATGTTCGACGGCGGCATCCATCTTTGTAATGTAGGCTACAAAATCTGCTTCAAAATCCCAGCGCTGTCGTCATCGTGTAAAGCCCGGCCCAACGTTTCTGATTGGTGCCGCGATTTCGGCGGATTTGAATGAGCTCTTTGCCAGACTAACTTTCAGAGCAAATCTAAATTTGCCGGAAGTTGTCTGGGTTTTCCCAGGCAATTAGGGTGCAGAAACTGAAGTGTGATCACGTTTATTTGATGCATCCAAGTTCTCATAACAAAACACTAAAGTTGTAAAGATTCGCCATTGTGTAAACCTGTCTGGGGCTTGTAACTATTAATGATTTAAAGAGCTGCGCATTGATTCTCTTTATAAACTCTTTAGCAGGCTCATTATGCGTGGTGCTGAAAGCTGATTGGTCCTTGGATCGTCTGGTCCCTGACAGATTCACAATAAAATGTTGTTTACTCGTAGAGCACTCAGGATTGTGTGTACATGTACGTTAAGGGGATTCTAAGCGTTTTTATGTCGTCGGCTCATCTGTCCGGTCTGTAGATGTTTGTAAAAAGCTGTGTGACGTGTGTATCTGTGCTAGACTTTTGTCTGTGGTCTAGTCAATCGAAATGCATGATTGAGTACATATTGGCGGATCTATAGTGGCATGCGTTGACTCTGAAGACATGCATGAATTTGAAAAGTTTACAATGTTTGTTTACTAAAAGGGACGACAGATTCTGCGACTACAATGATGGCTGCCAGATCTCTTTTAGGATATTTTAGTGCGAGATCAGTACTTAATTAAGAACATTTAATTTATTGAAGAGCAGATCAGGATTTCTTCTTATTTTCAAGAATAAAAAAACAAACAAAAAAAGCACCATTGATCTGTGTTTTCACGTGGCAAGCTTTGCTTTGCCTCACATTTTCATATTTCTCACGTTGAACAACGTTCATGCCTTTGATTGCATTACGGCCGAGAGGAATACGTTCTCTGACTTAGATGTTGTGTGAATGATAAAGCATGAAATCTTGTTTTATACTCGCTCAACATCAGCATCAACTTAAACTGGCTTAAACGGACTGTTAAAACACATCAGTAGAAAATTGTTCAATGGGGGTTCGATTTAGAAAATGTAAGAAAACGTTGCTTTTCTTTGACAGAGATTTTCATATTTGAAACCCTGGAGGACGGGGTCAATCTTAGATAAGCAGAATCCCAAATCTGTTATTGCCTTAAGAGACTTAGCTAATAACATTTCATAATAGTATCTGCATTGTGTTGCGTGTTAGTGTGTTCATGTTTTCTCTGAGTACAACAGAAACCAAATTGATTGAGACAAAGCGTGCAATATGTGACAGTAAACCCTTCGGTAATACTTGGTGCCTATCCGGACCCTTTTGCTTGCTTCCAGGTTTCCTTTAGTGCATGTAGGCTTTTTCTTCTTAACACTACGAAGAGAACGTGCAATAAATCCGACAAATGACAAGGAGCGTGATAGAGATTTTCTGAGAGTTAATGGGGTGTTTTTTTCTTCTTCTAATTTTCTTCAGTTTTATCATCAGTAGATCTTATGTTTTTGTGGAATCCACCTGGAGTTTATCTGAAGAAATCACCCATTGCCCTGAAGGTCAGATGTTTACTCTTTTTACAACTCTGTTAAAGTCGAAAGCTTTGTAAAACTTTTTTGGAATACGACATTTTCAGTAGGTGATTTTTCTATTTCCAAGAGTTCTCAAATTGATAGGAAGCTCAATAGTTCTTGATGTAATGGTTTTTGATAACTATTTCCAAGATGTTTAGATATTTTCAATTGGTTTACTTGGGTTGTAAGAAATCACCATATGTTGTATGATAATTCAGACTCCATTTGCAGTGTTTATTAGTGCAGTAAATACATCTGTACATGTTGCACACTCTATCTATCTATCTATCTATCTATCTATCTATCTATCTATCTATCTATCTATCTATCTATCTATCTATCTATCTATCTGTCTGTCTATCTATCTTTCCACCTATCTATCTATCTATCTATCTATCTATCTATCTGTCTATCTATCTTTCCACCTATCTATCTATCTATCTATCTATCTATCTATCTATCTATCTATCTATCTATCTATCTATCTATCTATCTTTCCACCTATCTATCTATCTATCTATCTATCTATCTATCTATCTATCTATCTATCTATCTATCTATCTATCTTTCCACCTATCTATCTATCTATCTATCTATCTATCTATCTATCTATCTATCTATCTATCTATCTATCTATCTTTCCACCTATCTATCTTTCCACCTATCTATCTATCTATCTATCTATCTATCTATCTATCTATCTATCTATCTATCTATCTATCTATCTATCTATCTATCTATCTATCTATCTATGTGTTTTTGAATTGCAAGTAATATGTCTCCATGTAAAACAGTTTCTTGTGTACTGGGCCAAAGGCTATTTTTTATTTATGAATTAATTTACAAGGAATTTAACTCATGATAACAGAGTAAAAATAGACTGTAGCTGTGACTGTCTTGTCTGTTAACCGTGTTAAGGGCATGTTCATTGAGAAAATGCCATCTTGGCTTTTCCCAACACATGTCTGATGATGTTGCATTTCTGAGCGGTTGGACTGTGTTCATTACTGTAAATGTGAAGCTGTACATGTGCCTCTAATGTGCAAAATGCATGAAGTACCTGTTTGTACGCATGAGCTGTTATTAGTGTCAAAGTTTACATTTACTGTATTGTCCCATCTTTCGTTTCTTATTTTGCTTCTTTTTTTTTTTTTTACTTGCAGGTATTTTTGTACCCTATTCACACAATATTAATAATCCTCCCTGTTTTAGAATAGAATTGGAAGTGAGGAAGATATTGACAAACAGTTTGTTACACTCAATTTCTTTTCTGCCTAGAGAAATGTGAAAAATAGTTATTACTTTTCATGTTATGAATCTGTCTTGTCCTCCAAGTTTTGTATGTTGTCTGTGTCGACCTCAAACTGGTCTTGCTCCCTGCCTTGTTTTTGTGCACTTCTATCTGTGATCATTCTCTTTCTGCCTGTTAAATTACTTTAATAATGTGTCAGAAACGATGTGACATTAATATATATATCAAATACTGTAATAATTCACTAGAAAGTAATATATAAGGATTTTATGTTTGTATGTTTTTGTTCATTTTGTTATGTCAGTAACAGAAAACGTCAAGACAAAACTAAGGACATTTGTTTGGAAGAAAATGGCATGATGTGTACTGTGTCCCGATTAAGAAGAAAATATAATGATGTAGCTGTTAGAGCTCAAGCAGACCTTATTGAATATAGTTTATTTATTTTAAACATGTACTGTCCTTGAGTGGTTTGTAATAACATCTATATATAACACATCAAAACTCAAATGATTGGATCTCCGTATGTAAAGGCTGCTGTCGGCCTATTGCTGTTCATTTGTATAAATCATGCAAATAGGACAGTAAAATGTACAGATCAGATAATTCACTCATCTTTCAAATAA